CCTTCCTCCCCAGTGCTTGGGAGTGATGGAAGGGCAGGGGGGTGGGAACTGGGCGGACCGGGTGTGGGATGAGGGTTGGCAGGGGCAGCAGCCCCCCTGTGTCTCATGGGAACGATATGTCCCGTCCCCCCTTCCCTTGCCCTCAACGAGCTGCAGCTGTGGGGCCGGGACAGCAGCCCCTTTGCATGACCCAGCCCGGCGGTTTTCTGGGTAGCGCCGGGTGTTTAGGGCACAGAATTGGTGACTAATTAAAAGCCGCACAGAACACAGCTTGTCTTGTTTGTTGCCATAGTGACCAGAGGGTGACTAAGTGGGAGAGATGCCAGGGTGACGGACACGGGTCTGGTCAGTGTCACTGCGCGGGCGGGGGGGCGGGAGCATCTCCTGGGCACACAGAGGGCAATTTGTTACCAGCGTGGCTGCCGCTTTGGGAAACTGAGGCGCAGAGGGGGCGGGCGTGACTTGCCTGAACCCCTGCAGGGAGATGGCAGCCGGTCTAGGAACAGGACCCAGGTGTCCTGGCTCTCACTCTGCCTGTGTTAACCCCTAGACCGTGTGGCTGGGCGGGGCCACAGCGAGGGGAGAGCAGGGTCCTGCCGGGCTTGTCCTGTGGGAAGCTGGGGTGGTGATAGTAGGGGCAGGAACCTGCCATGGGGCTGCGGCCTGGGGCCCATTTGCCGGCTCCTGCCCCACCTCTAGGAGAAAGAGGGGGGCTCTTGCTGGCTGTGGGATTGGACTCCCCGGCCTCCGGGACGTTGGTTGGTGCTGGGCGTGAAACCCCTCACTGCGTCTATTCAAGCTGAGCTGGGGTCAGCACATGGGGTGACCTGACTGGGCCCCCCACCTCTGGGGACTGCACGAGGCCTGTTAACACCATGTGCTTCGGGGGTGGGGGGACACAGGCTATCCCCTCTCCCTGCAGCCCCTTCCAAGTGGGGGAACCTGTTAGCATTAATCGCTTTGAGAGTGGGGTCCCTGTGGGCCGGGCGCTGGGCAAACACAGACCAGGCCCTGTCCTGGAGAGCCAAAGGCGAAGACCAGGTGGAAATAGGGAAACTGAGGCACGGTGCCGGGACAGTGACTTGCCGAAGAGCATGTAGAACCCAGAAGTCCGGACTCCCCCCGCCCCGGAGCAGCTGAGTGGGTTGGAGCAGGGGCTTCATCTGGGCTGACGGCCCTGGAGCTGCGGCTGGGATACAAATGCCATTTGTCGTCCCCCTGCCCGCTCCCCCTTCAAGCCACACTCTCCCGCCCAGTGATGCGCACACACACACACCCCGGCTCCTCTCTCCCAGCCGGTTAGCTCTGCCAGACCAGTCATCGCTCGCCTGGAGTTCCTGGCAGTGCTGGGTCACTGACTGCCCCTTGGCCCAGCCGCTCGCCCATGCCAATTGAACCAGCCCAAGGCGGGGGCGAGCCCCAGGGACCAGAATGGCCATGGGGGTGTTTGTTCGGCTTTTGTCCTTGAAGGTTAAACTGTTTCCTGGGGGCTGGGCTGGGCAGCTGGCCTGGGGTGGGGTGCTTGAAGGAAGTGCTGCCCAGGGGATTGGGGTGGGGGGGTTGGGATTCCTGGGTTCTATCCCCAGCTGTGGGGTCTAGTGGTTAGAGCAGTGGGGGCTGGGCCCCAGGACTCCTGGGTTCTATCCCCAGCTGTGGGAAGGGAGGGGGCTCTCGTGGGTTAGAGTAGAGGTGGGAGTGGGAGTGGGGAGGCCTAGTGGTTAAGGGCAGAGTTAGGACTCCTGGGTCTTCAGCAGGTTTTGGGGGAGGGGGTCTGAACGAGTTCTATCAGGGCGTTTGTACTGTGTTCTGGAGACCCACTCCAAGCTCCTGCCACTAACTTTCTCTGTGACAGTTTGGGTAAGGTCACGCCCCTCTGTGCCTCAGTTTCCCTGTGAGCACAGAGTAGCAGGGCCGCACTCTGCATCTCAGCCATGTCTCTGGGCTCATCTCTATGCAGGTGACTGGCTCTGTAGCTCATCCCTCCATTCCCTTCCC